CATCACAGCCTCTTAATTACCTCGTGTGGGTCGGAGAGATGTTATTGTCGGCCATCTTCCAATGCCCCCCCCCCAACCAATCAGGGTTCTGCTGTGTTCAGGACTGGATTTAAAGCTGGTTAGTCCTCCTGAAAACCCTGGAAGATTTTGCTGCATAGTTTTAATTTCATGACAAAACCTGAAGTCATGCTCTGAACCTCTTAAGAAAATGTATTTAAAGTTTCACCATGGATGGTTTGCATTTCCATTTGCAAATCCATTCACTTGTGCTTTGGTACCACTCATCAAATCATTTTTTTCACTTGCAGTTCCTTTGGGTGATTTTGGATGTACATTTCCCACATTAGAAGCCATGGATACATCAAGCATTGTGTCATGGATGCAAATGCCCCGGTGAAATGTTTATGTCTGGTAAATTTTACTAGCATGCAAATATATCCCACCACCAGGGAGCCAGTGCCTAGCTCTACATATACAAAACAGCTGTGTGCAAATGGCCTTTTAAAATTATCCACACACTAATTTTGGCTGAGAAGTTGGGGGGACGGACCCACTTTGTTGTATTTCTTCAGTGGGAGAAGAAACTCTCCAACACTTACCCAGGGCTGGGGCTCACCTTTAACAATGGCAGTAGCATGGATTCTTTCTTTTCCTCCTGAAGATTTCCCCACCACCACTTTTGCACGTAACAACAGCAGAATCTGTGTTGGCAGCCTGACCTCCTATTTTGCATTCTTGTCAAGCATCCTCCCTGGTGAACCCCCTACATCTGCCCAAGGTTTCCCCAACCCCAGGGCTAGATCAAGACCTTTAGAGGCCTAAAGCACTTAGAATACCTAATTCTAAATATAAAGAGTAATAAACCATAACATAAAATTTTATTTTTCAAAATGAAACAAAACCTACAGTAAGATGGAAAATAATGTTTATTTTTGTAATAATAATAATAATAATAATAATAATAATAATAATAAATTTATTTTTTATTGCGGCTTCCAGCAATATATAACATTATATTTATAGTTGAAATTTTTTCTTCTACTTTTTCTAATTGCAAAGTCTTTGATGAGATCTTCAAAACTAATCTTCTGTAACGCATCTGCTTCTATACATAGTAGAGATAAGGCATCCTGCCTGTCTTGTTGCATAGTTGTTTGTTGGGATTTAAAATATATTTCAACTGAGAAAATGAATGAACAATTTGTGACCATTAATGTTAAAAATACAGCAATGGAAAATTTCTGTGGTGCCCCCCTTCCCTTGATACCATAAGCATGTGCTTACTTTGCTTACCGTATTTTTTGCTCTATAAGATGCACCAGACCATAAAACGCACCTAGTTTTTGGAGGAGGAAAACAAGAAAAAAAATATTCTGAATCTCGGAAGCCAGAACAACAAGAGGGATCACTGTGCAGCGAAAGCAGCGATCCCTCTTGCTGTTCTGGCTTCTGGGATAGCTGCGCAGCCTGCATTCGCTCCATAAGATGCACACACATTTCCCCTTACTTTTTAGGAGGGAAAAGGTGAGTCTTATAGAGCAAAAAATACAGTAATTGTCAGATCTGGAGCAGGGTACGCACAGGGGGAGAAGAGGGGAGGAAGTCTCACTGTGCAAGCAGCAATCCTTGCACTGATGGGACGTGTGAGATGGATACTGCCCCGAGTCAATAAAAAAAAAAAATTAAGGTAAAAAAATATTATCCATACATATGCGTTCCCATTGTTTACACAGTACTTCATAGCCAAATAGAATATTTACAGAAGGTCTCTAAAATGCATAATAGTATCAAACTATTTTCTACTATTGTGGCAACTGCACATCTGAATCTGCCATTAGGTACCTTCTCTTTCAGTATACCGGAGTTCAAGAGCTCAGCTTCAGTCACAGAAGGATGCATAATTTATGACAACAGATTTCTTCCTACTTCTAGAAAGAAGGTAGAAATGTGAATACGCTTGTATGAATGTTTGATGCTGAAATGGGAAAATGAGGAAAGTAGAAAACTTTTTTTCTGAGTTCTTTTTATTTTTTTTTAAACCTCTTGGCAGCACTTTCTGCAATTAAATAGCTCCACGGGGATGCCATATGTTGCCAATAGTTTTACACTTCTCAGTAGTGGGAGGCTGGAACTCTTTCCAATAGACATGATAGGATCCCATTACAAAATTCTTCTCTAACAGAAACAGCTAAATGTTCTATCAAGGAACTAAATTAAAAATAGACTTGCTGGAATGGTTATCTCCCTGAAAGAATGCACTTGGCATGCTGAGTAACATGGTACATCTGGTGGGCACATCACTTGAATTTGTCTCCTGCATTTACTTGAGAATGGCACAAAGCACCAATACACGGCCACAGGCTCTGCTTGGGGCTCAGCCTTAATTCCCCCCTGTCTGTGGTCCTGCATCTTTATTGGGTGGGTGGGGAGCTCTTGGTGATGCTGCTAATAAATGCAAATAATGAACAGGAGAAAGGAGTTTTGCCTGTGAAAATGGTTAGTTTCTCATTAACCATGTTTAAAGAAGCAACATGGAAGAAAATAATTGGCTTGCTGGATCAGATGAAGATCCATTTAGTCCACTGATGGGGAATTTGTAGCCATCAAGTTCATGTTGAACTGTGGCTTCCATCATCCCTTAATATTGACCTTTCTGGCTGGGGCTGATGAGAGGACTCCAACCAAACCACCCCATCCCTGATTTAGTACAATATTCTGCTTCCCATGCTACACTGGTGTTGCATCCTTTATTGTCACCTGGGGCGAGTGCATGCACACATCACCAGGCAAAACCCTCCACACCAGCCGAACCTTTGCCACCACCAGGCAGGCGTGGGGCGCAGAGGGTTCACAGGGCTGCACTGCACACCCGCCCGCCCGCCCATGCAGCAGGGAGCCTGGCCAGCTGATGCAGCACTTGGCGAGGGGGCCAGGGGCACGGTGGCAAGGCTGGGCCCCAGGGATCCCCAGTGGTGGACAGAGCAAGGATCCCTGCATGAGGGCACCTGGGTAGCGCCCTCTCAAAGCCATGCACCTGGGGCTATGGCCCCCCTGGCCCTCCCCACGCTACGCCCCTGCCATGCTGGCCAACCAGGTGTCACTGGGGAGTTCAGAAACAGGGCATAATATCAGTAGACGTTCCCAGATGCGTACCTCCCCCATTTCACACTGTCGTGAACCACAGCCACGGCTCCTCCTTTCTGCTTACAAAACCAATAATGCCAGCTGTAGGAACTGTGATGTTTTTATGGTGGCACATTACATGATTCTATCAGCAAACATCCAGTCAGGGATCCTACAGTGAAGGGGTTGACATCACAGCACTTTGCCAATAAAATATAGATGACTGAGAGCAAACTAGAGTAATGCAAATGAATATGTGAATATCTTCACAAAGGAACACTGAGCAGTTGCATTTTTGACATTGACAAAAGATGTTTGTAACAAACTCTGAGTATTGTAGTGTCAGCCCAGCCTTAGTCCAAACTAAGATGACTGCAAATTCTGCCTACTGCTTGTATATCTTACCCACCTCAGCATATCTTGTTAGACATGCACAGTAATATAGAAGAGATAAAAACACTTCATAAAGGTCAATGTGGCCCTGAGGATAAAAGTGTTAAAAGAATATGAATTTTTCTAATAGATGGTTATTGGTTTGTGGATTTCATTTTTCAAATACCTTAATTGCTTATGCAGGCAAATATGGATAAGAAACCCTTCTGTTGGGAGTAGAGATTATTTTCCAGGATGGAGCCTTCCAGTTCAGGGGACAGACTATCTGTGTCTTGTGGGATGGAGTGGGGGTGGTCTGAAGGTTCATGAAGAGGTTCTGTTTCTAAATTAACTTGGGTCTCAGAAGACATTATACTGATGGGAAAAGCTGGGAAGACAGTGATAGGAACCTCCTGTACAGAGCTCCACAGTGACCTTCTTTGAAAGAAGGATGTAATAGAAATTTTCTAAACGTGAAGCAATACACTTAGTAAAAGTTCAAGACCAGTAGTGGGGACAGGCTTGTTTGTTTTTGAAGATATTGGTTTGGATCCAAACAAAGCATATCCTGCTCACAGAAGGGCTTCTTCTGACTTTGTGGAAGAATGTTGCAGGTGAAAAGTGATTCCAAATCTAGAGGTGTTCCTGCATTTGTGAATGACTTTTCCCAGACTCAGACTCAAGACCTTTAATGGCCCACGAGAGTTTATACACAGGAGGCAAATGTTTTCTTTGTTTATGGTTTAATTTACTGTGATGGAATTTTGGATAAACTGTGGCACTCAACTGCAACAAGTCCTCTGCTAGCAAGAGTTCGTGGAATAGCGCTGCTGCATTTTCTCATTCCCTTCCTGGATCTTTGGATCCAAGTCAAAGTCTTTGATCTCATACTCAAGGCAGGAACCAATCTCCTATGAAGTTAGCATTCTGTTTGAAGGTCTTATTGGCCTTTAAGGGCTAAAATGAATAACAACCAATCAAGGCATCGGTGGGAGACACCATGTGCTGAATCTGATGATTATGGAACTTCTGGCTGCGGTGGAATGTGGATGCTCACATCCATCCAGGTTTTTGTGACTCTTTCAGCCATGAAGATTACAGAGTGGTGTGGAGGGTAATGCATTTTGACATGTGGAACAAATACATTTATCTAATCATGAGTTGTATACTAGTTGATAATTTAATGAACTAAAATAACAGATAAATAAGTTATAGATGACCATTAAAAACAAGGTGAAGCATAGAGACCAACACTGTTATAACTGCATAAAAAATGTCAGAGCTGCCTATATGTCATAATCATGCTTCTAACAGCCAATGAAAGTGTGGGTTGCAATTGCCTTCATTTTTTGGTTGGGAGGGAATATTTCATTGGCCCTCACTGTGAGGCACATGGGCACCATCATAATGTTACTACCAATGGCTTTGTCCTTGCTAACCAATCACGGAGCTCAGAAATGTTCTGCTATTTGCATACCTGGCAGTATATAAGCCAATAGGTTGGGCGGAGCCCCAGGCACTTACAGTAGAGGAGGCACCTAGAGTGGCAACAGATTGGAGCCATGCCTTCTGCATACAGAGGGAAGAAAAGAATTCCGCTTCCGAAAAGAAAGCAGCTCAAGGGTAGGAAGCCTCGGCCTGTAAAGAAGACGTGCCATTTCAGACGTGGAGCGCAGGCAAAGCCAAAGCCGGTCAAGAAGATTGGAAAAAGGAAGCCGAACTCCCCCGCCCTGAATGATTCCAAGACCCTGCAACAACTTCGAAAGGACAACATGTACATGACCACCAAGGCCAAAGGGATAATGATTTCTTTTGTAAAGAACCTCTACAAATGGGTCTCCATTGAAGCCGAGCGCCTGAGGAGGGAGAAGAATCGCCCCAGCATTGGTTTCATCGAAATGCGGACAGCCCTGAGGAGCGTTATGCCAGGGAAATGTAATAAATGCAGAGGAAGCACCCCAAAAGGTGGGGGCCCTCGCTTTCTGAAGACCTCCTAAAGAAAAACCCCTCCCCTTCACCCTGGGGTGAGGAAGAACTAATAAAAAGGGAGAAGGGAGAGGAATATATCAGAAGCACCCCAAACCCCCAAACCCCCAAACCCCCATCTTATATTGCCAAGAAAATATAACCCTCATAATATGGCAGTTCTTCAACAATGGGATGGAGTTGGAAGGAGGAAAGTTGGATGAACCAGTGGAGCTCAGGTTAAATATATAACTGTACCACTGCACTGCAGCAAACTTCACAAGCCCTTACCAAACATTCCACCACCACCCTTTGGCCCGAGCAAGTGGGAGAACTTCCATAATGGGTAAAGACAGACAAGCATGTTATACGTAAGCGAGAGAGAGAATTGTCTATGAATCAAAGATCATAACATGCAGAACGGACAGGAGCTAATGCATTCTTTTGTATTAGAGATGTGAGAGATTTTCCATCCTTTAAAACTGAAGAATTGTATTGTGAGTTGTTATTCTGAGGGCATTATAATAAAAAGTGGATTTTTGAATATTTTGGGTCTTGTGTTTTTCCAGTATTTTTGAGATAAGGGGAGGTTAGTGTTTAATGAGGTAACGTTGTTAGTAGCAAGAGTCTGAATCTGTAATTTTTGGGTGCCAATGGAACAGTCTGCTTTTGCAGAATATCTTGAGCTGCTCTATTGTGTAGTAATGTAATGCCTGTTGCTTTATGAATTGCTTATAGCATTTAGATCTAAAAAGAAAATGAAAAAAGCCTCTCCCCTGCATTTTGGACCTCCGTAAGTTAATCTTCTAATTGCTATGACCATGTCAAGATGAGATCATCTGATTTCCTCAGTATGTTCAGGTAAGAATAATTCCACATTTCTGGTACCACTCTGTGCAATCCAGATCCATTAGACTTGCCATTGACTTTAACAAGATGTGGACTGCATGCAAAATGTGTCATCCAAAGCAACGGTGACAGTTGCAGTTTGAAATGTTTCAAGCTGCCCTTTAACTTTCATTTTGATAATTGGTTGACAATGCAATCCTATACATCTCTACTAAGAGGCACATTCCACTGAGTTCAATTAGACTTACTCGCAGGTAAGTGGGATGTGAAAAACAAAGTGTAGTTTCTCAGCTCACATATTTTGAATGTGAAACATCATTGATCTTGAAATTTAAATTGGCTTTCTCTGGGAGATCAAATTTTAATAGCTTTAACAGCAACGGTACATATGTGAATAAAGTTTACTTGTGTTTCACCTTTTTCCATCCTCATTTAATACTGTTATTCTTTCATCTATTTGATACCAAGGTGGGATAAAATGTTAAAATAATAATAATTAGTAGTAGTAGTAGTAGTGTTTTAAAATTACACATACAGACTTCTCCAAAATAATGTGAAATGTAGCCTTTACCCATGTTGAGGGTATGAAGACATATGTGAACTTGCTGAAGCTAAGTAGATCTGGGTCAATGGGAGACCATATTGGAACCCTGTGTTGCTGCCTTAGGCTTCCTGGAGAAATGTTGGCTGCAGGGGTTGTGAGTTGTTTCCATGTTATAGCTGGGATCAAAGGATCAAAGGCACAGAATAGTTTATGTATTCCGAAGAACAAATGGAACTTGCAACGAAATGTTGCAGTAGTGGCTGGCAGTGTAGCATGGATAGGACTGTGTTGCTTTTGGGTTACAGAGACTGGGAGGGGAAGCTGGGTGTGGTGCAGGAGCAGCGTTAGGAAGCCAACTTGGCAATGTAGGCTGGCTGCTACAGGGAGCTTCTGTTCATGGCTTCAGCCAATCAGCCACTGACCATGCTCCCCTCTCCTACAAAACATTCCCCCTCACTTTTCCACCCCAACCCCCAATGGCCATGGCCACTGAATACACACAGTTTTCGTTGCATTATTTTTTGGGGTCCCTTGGGATTTGCTCTAAAGATTTTAGTACTTTGACAAACCTTGGGGTCTCTCAGCGTCTGCCGATTCCACCCTCTTCAGTAGGGGCAAAGCTGTTTTGGCTACATATGCGATGGCACTCACCCGCTGAACTTCAGAAATATAGAGAAAATTAAATTCTGCAAAGCAAATAGGAAAGCTTGTAACTTCTTAGCTACAAGACTCAGAAACCTTCCTTCCAGGAGGAGATAAAACTATTGGTCCATACAGCCACAGACAGCATTCTGACCTAACAATAGCAACTGCCCTATACTCTACAAAGGCAGGTGTTTGCCTTCCCTATATTCCCAGACTACACTAACCAGATCCTTTCCTGCACCATAAAAAAGAAGGGAGCAAAGGGGAGGGGAGAAGCAGAGCCCCTTCATATTATTTTTTTTAAATGTCTGATTCAACAGTATTGCTTTGGCTCAAGGGGTATGAGACTTGACATTAGAGAGCAAAGGGGAGGGGGAGTTCCATTAGGCACTATGTACTTAATCCTAGAGTTTATAGAGTTCACCTAAAAATATCCAGGTTGTGAAACAAGATAGAGTATAACACATAAACACTGTGGTTCTATTGTACTTGGGGAAGGGGGGGTCTGAGGATAATAGAGATTCTTGGCCTAATCAGATAAGATAAGCAGTGGGAGGAAACCAGTGGGATGGAGGCTCTTTTGCGGCTTAGTGTAACAGGATGAGGCCCTTTGCTACATCTCCCTGGGGATTTAGGACAGATGAGACTAGCTCTTGCACCTCATAACTCTTATCCCTAGATCAGGATGCAAACCAAGGTTCCAAATGGTGCCAGAACACAAATCGTGACTGCCATCTGCGCTGGTTATGTGCAGTGCAGAGTGTTCTAGAAGCTGCTGACATCATGTAGCTAGTCAAAAAGGTGTAGCAGTGAAAAAGTGGGGCTACCAAAGGCTGCTTTGTTTCTTGTGCTAAGAAACTTTGAATACACCTATTGTGTATTAATCTTACATGTTCCTCAAAGGAGGTTTAACTACAATACATGTATGCTATCTGGTGCTAACTGTACCTCAATCATTTAAGGTAGGTTATTCAAAGAGATAAGCCTTATTATGTTGTGAACTGCCCTGAGATCTACGGGTATAGGACAGTATACAAATTTAATAAATTATAAATTTGTAATTTACTATATTAATAATAATATTCATATTCATATATACCAATGAAGGGAGGAAAGTGGGCAAATCTATCATTTTTTGTTTCTCTCCATCTCTCATTTTTCCACTCTTCAGTTCAGTTCCACACCTTTCTGCATCAATTTGCAATTTCTTTTTAAAGTCCTCATGGAAATTCAACAGCATAGTGCAAATTTCTTCTAATAAACACATTTTAGGATCTGGTTTTGCCCTTATATACATACTTTTGCAAATTGGTTTTGCCTAATATATTCATTTTTTGTATATTTTCATCAATATATGCATTTTTGTGACACGTTATTTGGCCAGAGAATAGCATTGCAAGGAGCCCAGGGCAGTAAACAAGTGATTAAAAAAATAAAATAATCTTTTAAAATCTTAAAAATAATTCCAATGCAGATGCAGACCAGGAAAGATCTCAACTTAAAAGGTTTTTTGAAAGGGGAAAGTTTTCTGTGGGCACCGGAAAGACAGCAGAGATGCTGCTTGTCTAATATTCAAGGGAAGACAATTTTAAAACACAGGGCGCCACAATGCTAAAGGCCCAATTTTTATAATGTACAAAAGCAACCTTCTGATAAGATGTTATCTGCAGAGCACAGTGATCAATTTGGGTATATAAGTGGTGAGAAGATATTTCAGGAATCCTGGCACCAAACTGTATAAGGTTTTAAACACTCAAAGCAGCACAGCAAACTTAGCTTGGTAGGCTAATAATATCCTTTGCCAGGAAGCAGTTGAGCCACCACATCTTGCGTGGACCAACATCATGGGAAGCCCCACACTGAGTGCATTGCAGTAACCCAGCCTGGAGGCCAGCAGCACATGGGTGACAGTTCCAGTCCACTCTGCTCACCACAGCACTTAGGATCTGAAAGGCATTCAAGCGGACTTTGATACCATTTGAAGCTCAGACTGGGAGCTAGCATAACCCTGCATTGGCCTCAACCTGTAGTATGTGGTGCATAGGATTCTTTGCAGATGCTCATGTTGACTTAAATGTTCCAATAGTCTTCCAGCATTGGTCTGGTCTGGTTCACACATGCACATCAAGTGCAAATGAACACATCATTGCAGGTGCAATGTTTTCCAGTGGGTCACACATTCACCCGCCAGTCATTAAATGCATCCCAAACAAATGCACAGAAAATCAAGTGATGTTTGTTGATTGATGAACCAGCCCACCGGGAGTGCATTCCCATAAGCACATTCTCCCTATGTATTTGGTCTTGAAACTAGCTCACTCCCACGGTCATGTCATTTTTGAAACGAGGTGGTACCACAGGTAGCTGTTACATGCCATTACTGTTGACAGTAGGTTTTATCATTTTTAAGTGAGAGAGATTAACTTACCAGCTTTTCCTCTTTACAAAAAATACTTTGGGCTGTGGAAAAACAAAGTGAAGGATGAGGCGGGTTTCCATAATCCAACAGGTAAATGCTGCACCCAGCATCTGTTTATAGATATGGACGCGATATAGCAGCATGAAACTGTCGCAGTGATTTTCGGTGGTTTTGTTATGTGCGGTCTGGAACTTCACAAGGGAATGAATCCATTCATCTTGGAATAAGAGGGAGGAAGAGGGTGGGGGTGGGGAGACGCCACAATCAGGCAAAAAGGACCAAAAGGCCAGATGAATCCTACTGCCACAAAATAGTTCAATAGTTTTTATTCTTTTGTATCGGACACAAAAGTACTGCCCTGAGTACTTGTCGTCATTAAAGATCTTTACAAAGGGAAGTCTGTAATGTACTGAAGGTTTGGTGGGGGGCAGGAAACACGTTTCCTGCATTTGAGGTAGACTTTAACCGTGGTAACATCTTTTGGTGAAAAGGGAAGGTTCTGTTAGTGAGGGGAGTGATGATCGCGTGTGTATCGCTATTATTTGGCAGAACTGGAAAATGATTGTTCGCTGCAAGGGTTGCAAGGAAGGGTCTATCTGCTGTGTGGCCGCTGCCAATGTACGTTTCCTCAACTTTGTGAGACAATTGCTAACGAGAGGTTGGGGGAGAAATTTGATCCAGTTTGCATTTAAAAGAGAACCTACCTAATTTGCACTTTCCTAAATAATGTGTACTGCACTTTCTCTAAATTGTGCAGTGGAATCATTCAGCCAAATAATATGTACAAAAATATTTACACTCGGGTAAAGCGTGCTTTAAAAAGGAATGTGTTAATGAAAATGGCGCACAAAAATGCATTTTACCAAGGAAAATTGACTTACAAAAAAATGTGCATATTGGACAAATTTGGAAATAAAAATGTGTATATTAGGAGAAAATCATATTAAAAGGATGATGAATTTTCACGAGGGTTTCAAAAAATTAAGCTGATGTGGAAATGTGGAGATCTGAACTTAAGATTGGAAAAATGAGATGCAGAGAAACTAAAATTGACAGATTTCCCCATCCCTGTTGCTAACATAAAAAAGACTG